AATAAATTACAGAGCATAACATGTACTTTGGCCTTTAAAGACATTTTACAAAATATTCTGTTTCTTAAATAAACTCTTATTAGTACTTTAACCTTGTTTTAATTCACCTAGGTTGAAATCTGGATAAATCAACCTATTTGCTATTAAAATTTTACTTAAAATATGATATCTCTTGATGATTATAAATGGCTATGAGAAAAACTGAGTAGCTAAAATCACATGTATTCTCTTATTTCAGTTTTTTACCCCAAATTTGCAGGTTTGCTAACATAGCACAAATGTTCTGGTTTTTTGTTTTGTTTTGTTTTGTTTTGTTTTTTTGCTAAAATTATATTTAAAATTGACATTTCATTTAAATACAAAGCAAATGAGAATAATAGTTATCATCTCCTGAAATATTATACTGCTATAAACAGGCAAATCATTAATGATTCGGTTAGTAGATTATGTATGCTTTTAAATTATTATCTTTATTTCTATAAGAGGGTAGATTGGAAGACTTAGCCCACAGTTTTCAGTTTACTCTCTTATAGAAATAAAGATAATCATCCACGCTTCCTCCAGGAACTTCAAGGATCATAAACTTTGCCTTTGTAGTTCTGGCAAAGTTTAAGATCCTTGATGTTCCTGGAGGACTGATGGATGAAGTTTAAGGAAATGGGTCAACCGTAACATCTAATATCAAGAAAAAGCTGTACCATGCCAGGAAAACCCTACATTTGTATAAAATTCTCACTTCACAATACATTATAAAGTGATCAATAGTATCTAACTTCTAAGTGGTGGATTTACCTTCTTACAGTAGTTAACTGCACATGTGCTTGTGTTCTACTACTTAAGAAGAATAAAAAAGGCTTCCCTGAGTATGTCATCATTAGAGCCAACAACCAAGAATGTACATAGAAGATCTTGATCTCGCCCACTATTTTTCTCTTCTCTTTTAGAGGTATAAATAAAAGTCTAAAGACACTTTTAGAATTTGGAAAAAGAAAAAAAAAAAAAGGATTTCTAGCAATATTTATCTGGGAAATATTTTAAATTAATTTTTAAAACTTGGCTCAAAAATATCAATTAACTGAAGTTATTCTTCCCTACAGGAAAACTGTAGCACAAATAGAGAAGCATCAAAGAATATATATGTATGATAAGTATGCACACATAGAAAGAAAGAAACAGAGAGGGAGAGACAAAGAGAGAGAACGACAGAGACAAAGTGAGAGACAGAGAAAGTAGTCCCGTAAAACATGGAAGTTTCTAAGATCTGTTCTGAACTTCATCAGGAGGCATGTGATACAGCTGATGTATAAGTACATTTATATAACGTTAATAGCAAAAAAGAAAAACATGAAATAAAGGCAAGTATTGATATCTAGATGCACTCTCTTAGTTGCATCCTAGAAAATACATACAAGGTAATTCAAAACTCCTAAAAAGATATAGTAATCTTTGGAATTTAGAAAAAAAAATATAGAAAAATCACAATTTTTATAGAAGTTAACTCATTCATACTAAATGAGCAAATTACAGCAGCCTTTTCAAAACTATTCTTAAGTATGTAATATTGAATGACAAAACTAATTTCACAACTATACCATTTCAGTGGAAATAGAAAATTGATGCTTATTGTCCCACACAATATTTAAATCAATTAACTGTCCTCTGATAAAAAATAATCACGCACGGTAATCATCATTAGAGTGGCTGAGAAGATTTCCTAAGCATAAAACAAACAAAAAACTAGCAAATAGCAGGGCCTGAAAACAGTATAAACATTGTTTTCTAAGTCTTACTCTGGAACAATCACTTGCAGCCATTCTCTTTAAAAATAAAGACCTGATTTCAATTTCATACCTCCAGTGTTTGAAAGTGAAGCGATTTCTCCATTCAAAGTTTATACCATTTTTTTCTCTTCCATTCTGAATACATTTTAGGCTCTTATAGGAAAAAGCTTAAGTTTCCTGATCTCTAAATGCATTAAGGCAAACACTCTTAGATCCACCAGCCTCTAAAACATTTAGGGACCAGGGCTCATAGCAGTCATGCAGTTAGCTTCTGTAACTATCTTTGAATTCATTATTATACTGAAATACATTTTTTTCATTCTTTAGAGGTTTTAGAAAACAAATTGCAATACTGTGGACTGAATCCCAAACACATCACTCTGCTAAGTAAAATGTAAATTAACATCACCTATCATTCATCAATGGCAATAAGGATTTTAAGGATTTCTAATTTAAAATGAAAGGTAAAAATTGATATTTTATATTAAAATTACCCTAACATATCCTTGAACACCCACTTGTTCAACGATACCAACATTATAAGTTTCATTATAAATTACACCCATATGTATCCCATATAGTTGTGCTTTTTACAGATTCACTATTAATGATAATATAAAGTCTAAAAATAAAAACTACAACAGGTCTTTTAGCAAAAATTTTATCCCTTAAACAATTTATCTATACTTATTCCATTTTCTCTAATAAATTGGCCTGTTCACCTGAAAAAGGGGTAAATTAAACATCCATGACTGTAGCACAGTACAATGAACCATAAAAATAGGTAGTATATTTCACTAATTGACATGTCAAACTAAAAACTAAATATTGCACAATGATTATATATGAATCAAAAATTAATAGGTTCATAAATTATAGACAGAAATATAGAGGATAAATGGTACGTTGGTAAATATTTAAGAAGTAAAATAACATGCACAGAGAAATCACAAAGCTGAAAAGTTCAGTGCTGATTGGAATACAGGACTGATGATGCCTAATATGCATGTAACAAACATTGGTTAGATCTATTAATGAATGGCTCCAAAATCTATCCTCCAAATTCTTAAGGAAATTTTTGTGGCCATTGAGAAAAAAAAAGTCTGTATGTATGTCATAAATATATTTCAGCCTCTCAAGTATTATTTCTGAGAAGGGCGCCAATTTCTGTGAATATACTTGGCAACTTCTCATAAAGGTAAAATTAAGCTGGACTTTAAAAATAACTGGTCTTATGTACAAATATAAACTGAAATAAAAATAAAGAAATTTGCTAATTCTCTTCTGTTTGAGAAAATGACTCAGCCTTAACCATAACAAAATCTCCCCGGTATCCTCAAAAATTAAAATTTATGATTAAACTAAAGCTATGATTAAAATGTAAAAGTATTTTTTATAAATTAGATCCAGATATGTCATTATTACATGAATATTCAACATAGAAGTATTACTATTTTATTCCCATAAACTCAACTGAGTCAGATGAGTCAGAAACCCTATAACCTTTATGTCGAAAAGCCTACTAACATTATTTCTTCTCTTTAATTCTCACAATAATACTGTAATTACGTAAAGGAAAGTTTCTTTACTTTGCAAGTGGAAAAACTGAAATCATAGGGAAAACACTTGGCTAAGGGTGATTCACAAAGTGAGTCTCAGAGAGCAGGCTGATATTCACAATCTCAAACTCATAAATTTAGTACTTTTTTTAAACCACTTATCCCCTAAGCCCACAATAGTAAATCTACAACCAACCTCCTTGGAAAAAAAAAAAAAAAGAGAGAGAGAGATGAAACATAAACAACTTCAATACATAAAGAAGAGTCTGAATTGCAGTTAAGGCTTTGAGTTTCCTGCTGGTCGGAATTAGGAAGCAGTAAAGTCTTAAATACTGGGCAAATGTGTGAAATACTGAGATCATCTCACTTTCTACTTCACATGAAAGACCAAGATCTGTTTATCAGGATCACTTTTGACAAGCACAAAGAAGTCATGGTGGATACGTTTTCTACTTTAATTCCATGACCCAAATCAGTGCTATTTGAGAATACCTAATTGAATTATTCAATTTAGGTAGAAACCATCTGCTCAAACCCCGAAGTCTTCAATTCCTGCTGCTATGAAAACAAAGTAAGGCCGAAGTCAAGGAATTGAAGTTGCAGCAAACCTCCTAATAGCAACAAAGTGTGGGCATTTGGAAAGTATGATCAGCACAATCAGCATCAGGCCCCCAAGTATTCCACTGCAACACTGATAAGGAAAGTTCAGACTTTGCTCCTGGAGCTCTTTTTGTAATCTCCTCGGTCATATCCAACTGCACTCTATGCTTAGTTTATTTATTTATTTTTTTTTCCAAGAAGATTGATCTTAGCCACCTAAAAATTCTCATTGCAAAAGAAACCTCTTGTTTAAACCCAAGTACAACCGACAGCCCCTTTCCAATTATCCCCTGCAACTTCCCCAGTCTCTTTCAAGCCTGGCTACTGAGCTCAGTCTAGTTTGGCTGCCGGCCAGGTTCCTCTCTTTTTTTTTCCTTGTCAGTCGTAAAAACTTGGAAAACACTCCTGGACAGCTCAAGGAGACCTTTAATTATGCAGTGGGGGCAGTACCGTAGCCTGTCGGCTGTTTTCAGCAAGGCTTGTAGTCACCAGAGACTGCACTCTCCCAATTGGTGTGTTTTCTAGCAAGCCTGCTTGTTCATATTGGGGAAAGGGGAAAGACTGGCAGAGAAAGGAAGCAATTTGCAAATCTGAAGAATTTCCAATTCCTCTCAAAGTTTTCTAATTCCTCACATTCACTCGGTCTAATAATCTCCTTTACTTTAGCACCTAATCACCCATTTCGTAATACAGACACAAAATCATCAGTATTGTGCTCTCCTGCTAGTCTTAGGTATTATTAACAAGCAAAGTCGTGACGTTTACATTCTCCATAACTTTCAATTCTCAAATGTTGGTGTAACGTATTTTAAAAGCAGGCACAAAATAAATATATTAAATCCTTCCCAATTGATGGCATTATGCTTTGTCAAACTTGCAGACTGAAATAGTGCATATAAAATGTGTGACTGCAAAGGAGAGTAAGGCGAGCTCAGTTGGGAAAAACTACGAGGACCTAGGGAGGGGTACCTTGACTGCCAGCTCTCACTCACTTGGAGTTGGCCCAGTGTACCAAGTGGACCCGCCAAGTCCAACACTAGCTAAGTCTTCCTTACTCTACCTTGGCACGCTAGTTCCAGCTGCAGCGTCCAGCTTCCTGTTCAAGTCCCATTCAGCATCGTAAACACATTCCAAGAAAACCAGCCTGCCCAGAGTTCCCTCCCGCACACAGGGAAGTCAGCGCGGCAGCCGCGGGAGCCGCAGAATAGAACTGACTGCTCTGGATTCTCGTCCGTGCAGTGAGTGAGGCCACGGAAAAGGTGAACCCGGCCAAGCATATTCAGCAGCAGCGGCGAGAACCCAAGAGCTCATCACCCCCGCCGCGCCTAGCGCCCTCCAGAAGCAGCTACTTGACCCGCGCAGCAAAAGGGTAACCATGTGGACGCCGCCCCTTCCTTTGGGCCCTCCCAGCTCTGAGCTTTAAAGTATCCGCGGCCGGGCCTCGGAGCTTCGCGCCTCCCCGCCCCCATACCCACATTCTCTCTCAGAGCCAACAAAAGGGAGGCTGCCCTGGAAGTTCGCTCCTGGGTCGCCTCGCTGTGACCCGGCGGGGACTCGCCTGCTCAGCTCAGGCTGATCCGCGCACCCTCGGCGGGACTGATCCACGGCTGCCCCACCGCCTCCCTCAGCTCCTGCCCACCGGGCCCCGCCAGCGGACCAAAGTTACCACAAAAGGCTAAGGAGGCTTCCCGGAGCCGGGAGACCGCTGCGTCCCCGACCTCGCCGGCCTCCCGCGCCATTCCTCCAGCGCTGCCACAGCAGGCGTCAACAGGTCTTAGCCTCCTTTCGTGCTGGACGACTCCCTGCGCCTTTAGCTGTCCTCGTTTTTTACAACCTGCCGGGAAGCGGCTCCGCGCAGCCCCGCGCCCTCCTTCCCGGGCACTGGGGGCCAGAGCTGTCCACCCCCGCCGGCCCTCTGGGTGTCCGTTTCTAAGCGATTCCACGCTACCTGGAGGGAGTCCGGGCTCGCAGCCAGAGAAGAGCCCAGATAAGTCTCCGTACCTCGCTGAGAGATGCAGCCGGGTCAGGCTTCGGGCAGGGGCGTGGAGACGGGTCCTCCGAGCCCGGCGATCTCCGCGCCAGCACGGCCGGGGAGCCGTCTCCGTGGCCGAGAGGGAAAGTTTCTCTACGTCAACACGGCGCTGGACTCGGGACCCTCCAGCTTCGGTCCCCTCCCTCTTCGCGCGCTCTCCCCGCTCCCTCCCTCCTCTTCCTAATCCGCTGAATCCAAAACTGGCGCTGGCGGCTGCTGGGACGAGGGGCGCGGGACTCCGGGTCGCTCCCGGCTGGGAACGAGGGGCTCCCCCTCTCGGTGAGAAGGAAACTCTCGCCACGCCGGCTTGCGCACTTCTGGCGGTCTCCTTGGACACTTCCACACGGGACGGCTGTGTTCAGGCTCGCCGACTTCCCTCCTTGAATCTCCGATGGTCGTTATCTGCGGCCCCCTGGGCTATCCCGCGCGTGCACGCGGACCCGGAGGCGGGGAGAGGCTGGAATGAGAGACAAACCCATCTGCAGAAGGACGGGCCCTACCTTACCCAGCCCTCAGCCCCGGCAGAAGCAGAACCACAGGCCCCCGCCCCCGCCCCATCGCACCGCGTTTCCTTTCCAGCCTTCTCCCTCAGACACTAGACGAGGACCGTTTGCGTTTTCTTATCTCTGTGTGTTTCCTAACACAATTTTAAAACACCTCTGAGGCTTCATAGAGGGGGAATATGTCAAAAGAAATACACGAATATGAGTAAAACGTGCCTTCTTCCCACTGCCTTTATCAAGAACGCAGACACAGTTGCTGCTGCTCTGGCCGCATCTCAGCAGACTGGTTTGTCCGCATTTGTTTTTTAAGTCGGCCTTAATCTGTGGACTTTGTTATGCCTTAAAACAGACACACACACGTGAAAATTGCCACAACCCCCAGATCATACTCATTTGCTCCATTCAGATGTTTGCCTCGGAATTAAAGACTTCTGTATAGGATTTGAGGGAAAACACCACAGTGCATTCTTGCTGGTCTTAGTAAAGCTCTGTGTGGGAAAGGGGGTGAAAAGGAGTATCCTCGTACAAGAAGTTTTTAAAGGATAAGAGGACTTTGACTAAAGTTTTTGGTGCTGCTCAGAATTTTGTTTACTAAATTTTAGTTTGGATATGAAAATAGATGAGAAAAGGGAAAAGGCATTTTGCAAAGCTAGCAGTTATAACGTATTACAATGGATTCAGGGCTTAGAGTCAGACCGGTCAGATTCCATTCCAAACTCCATCCTTACTCTTTCTGTGCCTATCAATTATAACTGCCAACAGGAATTATATAATCTAGCTCACGGAGTCACAGTCACATTTGCAGGAGTTAAAATAGAGTCATGAAAGACACAGAAACAGTATTCAACAGATATTTGGTTCTTATATCCCATTAATTAACTTTAATTGGGAGAGGGTGGTGCTAGAAATTTTCCCCCAAAGATCCTATAACTGAATCAGCTTTCTTTTCCCTAATGCTTTTTTCCACTTAAAAAGGTATGACTTCACAATTTTTGAAATAGAAACTACGTTTGTTTACAGATTAGCTAGCTCTAATGGAATTCTCTTATTTTAAACACAAGGTAACTGAAGTCTAGGCATCTTAAGTGACTTTCCCCAAATCTCATGGTTTGAAGGTCCTAGAGCTAATACCAGAAATCAGTCCTTTTAATACTTGTGCCAGAGTCCTCTTTTCACTGTTTTCCCCTTTATCACAACAGTCAAGCACACGTAAAGATAATTATATTAAAAGCATTAATCTGAGGACAAATGCTAGTTGTCTTTTTTCTGTAAATAACTCTTAAGCAATTAATTTGTGAACAATCGTTAAAAATTAAATAATGCTATTTAGATGATCATTTCGTATCAATGTTATTATGAAAATAAAACAAATGGTAGTCCAGTATTTAAGAATAAGGAAGTTGACCAGATGAACAAATCCATGCTTACATTATATATTTACAGATAGATATTTTGGGTTTTTAACCATAATATTAAAAGATTATGATAAAGAACTCTAGACTCCCATACATCAACATACCACTGTGGTTGGCTGACCCTAGTTTGAGAGCAAGGGTCAGTGTTCAGGACACATAACTCAACTTGAACAAGTTCAGGGCCAAAGAACAAATCAGGCTACAGAGATCAAACTTTCCATCCTGTGAAATAATGGAAAAATCCCATACCCTGTACTTACTTCTCATTCATTTGCCTCTGATACCTGTAAGAAGAAGGTATCAAAAATTTGACACCTTTTTTCAAAAATGCTTTCCTACTATTCACAATGTTGAATGTCATCTGAACTTTTGCACAACTAACTCTCATGTTCTCAGAGATGAGACCCTATATCCTCCAAGTGGGAATTATTTACTACTCCAGCCTCATCTTCAGTTTCCTGAAGGCATATCATAGACTTCTCTTTAGAGATCTTTCCTATCCACCAGACTTGGAAGATCCTAAAGAGAGAAAAAAATATGGCTACAAAGCACATCCAACATAAATGGATAAATGACAGATGAGTCCTCATAACTGTCTTTTTTCAATCGTTGCATACAGTGCTAAAGAGTACTCATTTTTATATTTTCTCCCACTGTTTAAAGTCTTTAAACTTGCTATTGCTTTATAATTTTTATAACTCGACTTTTGATATGATCTGCTTTGTGAAATGGCTTAGAGGTATAAAAATCTCAAGAGTGTCAGAACCAAGTTTTTAAAAACAATAAAATGAAATGGAACAAGATTTTAAAGCAAATTTATAGCATGCCCCAGGAAGTGAAGAAGGGAGATGCCAAAGAAAAGGGTTACAGAAGCCTAGCAGGGGCACTGCGATGAGAAATATGCCTCATTTTACCTATTGCAAGTACCTCTGACTTCCGTTTGAAAGTTCTTCGCATTCATCACAGACCTGATAGAAACTCAGCAGCTTTCCAGTGATTTTATAATTAATGTTCTTGCTCAAACAAGTTTTAGGTTTCTCTTACCCTAACTAAGGGAACCTTGGCTAAGACAAAAACTACCTGTTACTTAAGAAAAACAATTTTATTTCTGATTATTGCAAAAGCACACAAAAATATGCTGGTTGTTTAGCCCTATATTTTGCAAAACCAAAATTTAAAGTATTTGACAACTTTTAAAAAAACGTAATGAAAACCAAGATTGAAATCAAAATTTCAGTCATGTGATTTGAAAGGAGGACCTGATTCCGTTTGTCATGTGTAACAGTGGCCAAATATCCTATGAGTTCCTAAGGGGCTCTGAGTTCCAAAGTTATTATGTTACATTGACCTTCAAACCTCTGTAATTTTATCGGTCATTCTGAAGGAATTACTTTATTTTGGTTTCTTGATTAATAACATGAAACATGACCATTGCAAAAAAAGAAAAAATAGGAGAGCAACTGCAAAGGGAAAATAAATATCACCTATTCCCATCACCAAGAGTACCCATTGCTTACATTTTCTCTATAGGCTCCAAGGTTTGTTGAGGCCTCTGAGAGACTTGGATAAATAATATTCCTTCTTCATGCCTGGGTTGGGAATAAACTGACCAAAAAAGTTTAAAATGAGAGCAAAATATTACTCCATTATTGATAGATAATGGATTTGAATTGGTAGATCCAAAAGCAAAGAAATGAAACAACAGCCTCAGTCACGTAGTTCCTGGCCTCCTTCTAACCTGAAAGGAGTCCATGACTTTGAAAAAGATTTAAATTGTTTTTTGAGTTCTATTCCAAAGAAAGAAAGAGAGAGAGAGAGAGAGAGAGAGAGAGAGAGAGAGAGAGAGAGAGAAAGAGGTAGTTGAGACTGGCATGCCCGGCAGTTCTTCCCAAGCGTAATCTTAAGTTTATCTACCAAATATCATAACATCTCTCCAAGGGAACGTAAGTAAAGTCCCAGTAAAATATTTTTTCATGGAAACCAAGAGTGGAGGAAAGGCATTAGCCAGCACACACAGCCACTTATCAATTTTGTTTCCATTTTTTTCATGTGGAAGTGTAATGTACATACTACTACATTATAACAGTATAGCATCGGCTTTTTCCATGCCAGTGTTTATTAATAATTTTTTTGCTATTACAAACAGAAATGATGGCAATTTATACATACTTTTTTGTATGTCATCTGTTCATATATTGTGCCTATCCATTGCAGTATTTCCTTAGAATAATAACCTATAAGTAGCTTATCAAGTTAGAGTATAGTCTTTTTTTTTTTTTTTTTTTTTTTGAGACGAAGTTTCACTCTTGTTACCCATGCTGGAGTGCAATGGCTCAATCTCGGCTCACCACAACCTCTGCCTCCTGGGTTCAGGCAGTTCTCCTGCCTCAACCTCCTGAGTAGCTGGGATTACAGGCATGCGCCACCATGCCCAGCTAATTTTTTGTATTTTTAGTAGAGACGGTGTTTCACCACGTTGACCAGGATGTTCTCGATCTGCTGACCTCATGATCCACCCACCTCGGCCTCCCGAAGTGCTGGGATTACAGGCATGAGCCACTGCACCCAGCCAGAGTATATACTTTTTACTGTTTTGAAAATAATCTTGCATTACAGAAAAGTTACAGATAGGGTACAAATAATTATTACTTTTACCTGAACCATTTGAGTATAACTTGCCATCATGATACCTCATCCTTCTCAAATCCTTTGTGTACTTCCTTAGAACACAGATCTTCTCCTCCATAAAGAAGGTAAAACATCAAAACTCAGGCAATTAACATTAATGTATTTCTACCATTTAATTATCATGTCCTATTCAGGTTTCTCCAATTACTCCAGTAATGTTCATTATAAAAGCAGGATCCAGTCTGGGATCATAGTTGCATGCAGTTATCATGTCTCTTTAACTTTCATGGTATTTATACTTTTGTAAATTATCTACTACTTACCTGGCAAAAGTGTAATATATCATATTAGAGTCAACTAATATAATTTTTGGCTGGTAACAAAACAGAACTGTGATGCTGTATTCTTTTTTAAAAAAAACAGTTCTAATAAATTGTACCCAGCTTTGATTTTTTCCTATTGCTAATGATCATCACTTGATTATTGGTCAGACTTCTATTCTGTAACATTACTCTCTCCCTCTTTATAATTGGTCCATATGGGTGGCATTGGTGGTATAGAGGTGAGTATAGCTGCTTTTCAACCATAATTGGTCCACATTTCCTGGGGAGGTACTCGAAACTAGGCAAATACTTCAGTTCTCATCAAACCTCTAATTTGTTCATTTGTTTACTTATATTAGTATTGATACATGGTTTCTTATTTTACTTGAATAGGTATAATCTGTTTCTATGATGATTTATTTTAACACTCAAATTGTCTCAGTTTTGGCCAGAAGAGACGGTTTCAAGCGAAATTCTGTATCC